AGATTTAAATGATACAAATGTTTCGAAGGAAAGATTTAAATGATACAAATGTTTCGAAGGAAAGATTTAAATGATACAAATGTTTCGAAGGAAAGATTTAAATGATACAAATGTTTTCGAAGGAAAGATTTAAATGATACAAATGTTTCGAAGGAAAGATTCAAATGATACAAATGTTTCGAAGGAAAGATTTAAATGATACAAATGTTTCGAAGGAAAGATTTAAATGATACAAATGTTTCGAAGGAAAGATTCAAATGATACAAATGTTTCGAAGGAAAGATTCAAATGATACAAATGTTTCGAAGGAAAGATTTAAATGATACAAATGTTTCGAAGGAAAGATTTAAATGATACAAATGTTTCGAAGGAAAGATTTAAATGATACAAATGTTTCGAAGGAAAGATTTAAATGATACAAATGTTTCGAAGGAAAGATTCAAATGATACAAATGTTTCGAAGGAAAGATTTAAATGATACAAATGTTTCAAAGGAAAGATTTAAATGATACAAATGTTTCGAAGGAAAGATTCAAATGATACAAATGTTTCGAAGGAAAGATTTAAATGATACAAATGTTTCGAAGGAAAGATTTAAATGATACAAATGTTTCGAAGGAAAGATTTAAATGATACAAATGTTTCGAAGGAAAGATTTAAATGATACAAATGTTTCGAAGGAAAGATTTAAATGATACAAATGTTTCGAAGGAAAGATTTAAATGATACAAATGTTTCGAAGGAAAGATTTAAATGATACAAATGTTTCGAAGGAAAGATTTAAATGATACAAATGTTTCGAAGGAAAGATTTTGTATCAAGTGCTCAGATTTTAACTTTTTATAAAGTTATATAAATATATATAAACTTGCTCCCCAGTGAGCATGGAACTTAAAAAAGAACGTTCAAAACGTTCAAAAAACGTATTTTTACGTCCCGTACCCTCTTGGTCCATTTACAGTTAATCAATATGTTTAACTCAGTAATTTCTTTTGGATGTTGTTCTTCCAATGGAACTCCATTTTTGTCTTGGAATCGTAAACATTGTTTCAATGACCTTTCTGAAACCTGACCTGACGTTATAACCCGGCCAGCTGAACTCTTCATTTTACTCTAATTTAAATTGGTGAGCAATTTAAAGACAACTATTGTCAACTTTTAAAAAAAATTGACATTTTGATTTAACTGGCAGAAAAAGTTTGTTCTAAACAGTCTTTTCTTTTATTGTATTTTGTTCTATTTTATTTGAAACTATTATATATAAAGATATTTTAAAGAAGTTGTTTTTTTTATTGAGAAAAACTTTAAGACCAAGTTCATCAATTCAAAACATTTTCACTAATTTTCCGATTTGCCTCATGCCGAAGCCCCCTTACTGTTTTCTAACATTTTGAAAAAATTTTATAAATGCAATAATTAAATTTTTGTAAATGCATTCAGTGGCGTAGGAAGGTTTTTAAATGTTTGAAATAACAAACAAAAAAAAATATTCCAAACATTTTTACGTTCATATTTATGACAAAAAGATTCTTCACAAAAAAAAATTACTGTGATAGAAGAATGGGAACAAGTAACCCTAAACTCTTAGCCCTCCTCCCTTGCCCTAAACGTGAGAGCAACAAGTTGATGAAAATAATTTTTGTATTATTTTCAATTAGACTTATATTCATCAATAAATTTTAAATTTCTTAATAAAATATTTTAGTGTTATGACTATATATAGTTTAAACCCCCTCAATTTGAGGGGTTTGCAAATTTTGTATGGTCATAATTTTTAAACACTAAAATATTTTACTAAGAAATTTAAAATTTATTGATGAATATAAGCCTAATTGAAAATAGTACAAAAACTAATTTTATCAACTTGTTGCTCTCACGTTAGGGGCAGGATTGGGGGCTTAGATTTTAGGGTTTGTTGTTCCCATTCTCCTATAAGTGTATTTTTTTTTTGTAAAGAATCTTTTTGTCATACATATGAACGTAAAAATGTTTGGAATATTTTTTTTGTTTCTTATCTCAAACATTTAAAAACCTTCCTACGCCACTGAATGCATTAATCTTTACTCGGTTAATTTAACGAATAAGCAATGGATTATTTAACGAATAAGCGATTGCTCTCAAAACTCAATGTTTATTAGTAACGGTACAAGAATTGATTTGGATCAGTGCTGACATCTTTCTGTTAAAATTAACCGAGCTTGTAATATTAAAGTCTTAATATAAATAGAACTAATGCTAATACAAAACAGATACGTATAAAAAATTATTTAATTTTTTTTTATTAATAATATAGTTAGTAGGATATCTTTTATAACGTCCCATACAATTTTTGATAATGCCCCATATAATTCAATAAATAGATGATATACGGCCCTCTATTCTTCTGAAAATGGAAACAACGCTATTCGTTTTCGGAATGATAGATAGGGGTTGTTGTGAAGGATAAAGTGCTGTTTCAAGTATTTGTAAAAAATAAAATGCAAGCTGTTGTATGATAGTATATGTTAGAAATAAAAACTGATTTATTTAATCCCATTCTATCATTCATTCTTCCATTCATTCTTTAAAAATACTTTTCGTTTACTCTTTCTCACAATCTATATTTAGAAAATTGTTTTTTGAATATTAATTCAACATTTTTTGAATATTTTAATTTGCAGTAATTTAAAATTATTTGCAAGGAACTAGAAAAATATTGAAAAGTATAAGTTGAGCATTTTGATGGTTTGAGTTTGATCGTCCAGAAATATTCAACTAAACTAAGCAAACATTTTAGAGTTTAAGCATTAAGTTTTTAGGGTTAAGGCTATTTGGGGTTAAGGTCCCTACTATTTATTTATTTTATTTATTTAAAAGCAATAATTGCTTTTTAGTTCTAATGATTTTTTAAGATAACTTGTGTATATGTAACTGTGAGTAACTTACGCTATTAATGTTTAATAGTTTAAAGGCAAATATATATATATATATATATATATATATACATATATATATATATATATATATATATATATATATATATATATATATATATATATATATATATATATATATATATATATATATATGTATATATATATATATATATATAAACATTAACAAAAATATTGTATTAACTCGCTGTTATCATGTAAAAGTTTCAGCTTAATCGATATTTAATCACTTTAAAAAATAATAAGTATATTACAAATTCTCTAAGAAAGTCTTTTAAATATTAAAGTTAAAAATCATTATAATGCCTTTGATTTATTTCAATACAAGTTCATTTTCTAATAAGCCTTCTTTTTATTTGTCAAAACCATCAACACCATCAACGTAAATTTTTACATTTTGTGCAGTAACATAGTTCTGAATATTTATAAGTCATTTTAACACACAAGCAGTGTTTACAATCTAGCGTTACAATTTAAGCTGCAGTTACACTAACAAGAGCAGAAATACAATTGCACATTGTCACGTTTCCATTGCCTTTATATATATTTTTTCCTTTATAAAAAAACTCTCATTTAGCACCTTTATGAACATTAAAATCATAGAAGTTCGCACCTTTAAAGATATTTATCTCTAACACAAAATACCGAAACCTCTTTTAATGCAAAAATTTAACACGAACAAAATTGCTTCCATTGAAGGCTTTTTTTTGGCTCTTTTAAATAAGGTTGATTATGAATTTAAAGTTTGTTTACAACTAAATAAAATATAGTTTTGCTAGCAAACATTCGAAAAAAAATCTTTTAATTTTGTAAACGTTGAAAATATAAAAACAAGTTTCTTATGACTGAAAGAGCAGGCTTTAGAGTTTATTATAAAAGTTCATTATAGTTATAAAAAGAGACTAATAGTTAAAAAAATATAAAACAAGACTAAAATGAAAGCTGTAAACAAATATTGTTTTAACTTTCTTTTGTAAACAGTTATTCAAGAAATGTTGCAAGGTGCAATGGTTATAACAGAGATAACCTACTGTTTAATAAAGGAGATAACTTATTTTTTATTAATGGTGATGAGACTTTGTTGTAAACAAGTCTTTATTAGAGTAAATTATTTACAAAAAGACTTCCACATTTATTTTGCCACCTCAATTGTTAATTTTTAATACCAATTATTCAGAATGAATTTGCAACATTTGCATCCGTCTTATTTATTACTTCTTGTAAAACATGACAGGGGTTTTTTTTGCAACTGTCTAATGACACCTTAGTTTTCATAATTCTTTAAATATGTGCGCCGAATTAAAACCATATTTATTAATTTAAAGTAAACAATATTATTGATCACTCAATAATTTTTTTCAACATAAAAATTTAATATTAAATCATTAAAAAAGAATTAAAAAAAAACAATTGTTTTTCGTAATAAAATGTGATTTTGTAGCAATATTTAAATTGCACTAATACCTCTTACGTTTTTTTGCTGTTCCGAATTTCTTTTAAGTATTTAGTCGTCATTCCTGATTAATGTATAAAATTAAAATGGAAAATGTGTCGTATTTCGACGTTTGGACATTATAAAACGAATTTTTTTGAGGTAATTATATGGTCAAAGTACTTTACGTTTTAGTTTTTTTCCAAAAAAAAAGTTTTTTTTTAGTTTTTTATCATCAAAATTGAGTTTTTAATCGTAATAAAACAAAATTGTTTTAATTTATATTTTAAATAAAAAATTTAATTCACGATGTCAATATAGTTAAAAAAATAAATAGAATAAATAAAAGGGAAAATTGAAAGAACTAAAAAAGTTCAATTCCAATGATTATGGTTAAACATATCAATATGGAAAACAAATTTTGAAGCACAAAAATTTTTAAACAGAAAAACCATTAAACTGCATGTAGATTGCAACGTTTCCTTTTTGAGATCTTTGATATCACCTGTCGTTGAACAATTTAAACAACCCAATCATAAATGTTTTAAAAACTCTTCTACCAATCAAATTAAATCGATTTTATATTGAGCGCAATGAAGCGCAGCGAAACGAAATGTAAACGTCCATTTAAGTAACCTTGCGAATACCTATCTGAATGCAGCAAAGGGGTGCTAGAATTATTACATTGTAAATGTAAACAAAACTCAGCAAATAAAGATGACAACTCTAAAAACTAAGAAAGGATAGAAGAACAAGCTCAAGAAAATAATAATAAAAATTGTACATATTAGTGAGTTAAAGTAGGTTTTAGGAATTAATTCAATAAAATGTTTAACCAATATCAAACTAGTAGCTTGAGTGATCTAGACTCTATTAGTGTGCACGACATAGATTTTGATCTCGGATCAACAAATAACTGCTATGGTCAGTTTACATATGGGGATTACTTGCAAGAACTGCAAGAACTAGAACAGGGTCGTACTCCAATGAAAATGGATCGTCATTCTTTACCGAGAAATTTAACAAACTTACACTGGCTTCATAACGTTGGAATGCAAGCAGACCAACAGCAGCAAATTAGACAAGAGCCGATTTCCCTCATGGTAGATCCTAACACAAACATGCCAGTTCAGTTTTCTGCTAATCGCTCTGCTATACACGCTATGCAATCTCAAAACATTACATTCATGAGTCTGGCTCAAACTCACGCAATGTCCCAGCAGCAGCAGCAACAGCAGAATCTCTATCAACGTCACGATTTGCACCAACAGAACATTTTGCAACATCAAAAGTATGCGCACGACAAAAATAAAGAAAATGGCAGCCCTGGTGCAAAAATATTTCCTAAACCAGTATTCTCTTATTCTTGTTTAATAGCTATGGCGTTGCGAAACAGTGATCAAGGAAGCCTACCTGTTAGTGAAATTTACAAGTATATGCAGTGAGTTTTGTTTTTATTTCTATTTGTTTTCTTTATACGTTTCCATATTTTTTCCCTCAACTTTCATAACTTTCATAACGCAAACAAGTTTATTGAATTTAGTAAACGCTAAGAAGTTAATTGGTTAAGTTCTTTTGCAAAAACCTTGAAACCTCTTTTTGTTGTTGTTTTTTGTTTGTTTGTTTGCTTTTTTTAAAATGCTTATTAATAAAGTTTGAGTTTTGAAAAAAGTTATTCTTATTATTATATAAATATAACTTTTTAAAATTATATTAGAAGAACATATATATATATATATATCAAAAAACCCTGCTTTTTACATCTTTTTTAGTTGCTTTAGTCGAAATATCTAAACAGTTACTCAAGTTTGCAGATAAATAAATTATAAATTATTTCGTTATTTTATAAATTATGCCTGATATAATTAAACAACCATGTGACGTGATAAAAACAACAGCGCACAAATAAGCTCGAGAACTTTTTAAAAGAAATTTTGTAAAAGTATTAAAACCTTTTAAATTTTTTGTAGAAAAACTCAAAATTTTCTGTAGAAAACTAAAAACCCTTTAAATTTTTTACAGAAAACTTAAAACCCTTCAAATTTTTATTTATCATTTTATCTACAACAAATGCAACTTTAGTTTTCACAAACACAATTGTTTACATTAAAAGTAATCAAAACGCCGTTCATAAAATTAAACATCACAAAACTAAAAGATCAGTTTCTAAAAGCATTTAAACTAGAGACGTTTGTTTTGCTTCAGTTTTAGTTTCTAATATTTTTTTTTTTTAATTTAATATTATCAACCGTGTTGCACATATTTATGTTTGGGTGTGTGTGTGTTATACTATTTATGCATATATTTATTGTCATTAAACTTCTTTAATCTTTACAGCAGTGAGTTAAACGTAGAAATATAATTGGCCTAATAAAATTAAAAAAAAAAAAATTCATTTATAATCGCAAATCAAGTATCAATTCAAAATTTTAACAAATTATATTTATTCATCATTTACAGTAACATATTTTTTAACTTTTTAATTGAAATTTTTTTTTTTTTTGAATTTAAACTCTTTTTAAAAAAAGAGGTGAAAAAAATCGATATCAGCTTGATAATTAATAATGCTGAGTGCTGTTTTTCTTACGTTACTCTTTTCATTTGTCTGAAAAATAATTTCATTTTAAAGTTTCAAATGTTGCAAAGGCTTTTAAAAGCTTCTGTTTCTACTAGTTTGAGAATAAAAATATCAGAATTTAATTTTTGTTTAGTGTAAAACTAATTGTTCATCAGGTTGAGCTATTTAACAAATCCACGTCTCTTACTAAACATTTCAATATTTTTTATTTAGTTAGCATTCTCACAGTAAAAATATATTTCGTTATTGCTTTGAATGCTTTTTTAAAAAATAAAGTTTAAGTTTGAAATTTATACTTGATTTATGCTTATAATTGAATAGATTATTTAAAAATTTTAGTAAGCCAACTAAATTTTCTACGTTCAACTGCTGTAAAGGTTAAAGAAGTTTATTAGCAATAAAGTTATTTACCTCCATCCATCGTCTGAGATGAATATTAACAATAAAGTTATTTATCTCCATCAATCTGAGATGAATATCAAAGCACAATCTGTGTCAAGTAGAACAGCATTTCTTCTACTGAGACTTTTTATTCCCACTTTTATTGGTTACAGCTAAATTGTTATGCTTTTAAACTGCTAAACAGCTATTGTTCAATTACTAAATTGTACTCTATAAAGTCATCACGATCTTATCACAGAGCACCGCGGATAAACATTTAACCAGGAAGTTCACGCTTTCATCTATACTAATACAGCTTATCTGACCAGAGCCTCCATTGAATTTTAGCCAAAGTTCTAAAGACTCCGTCACGGCATTTAAATATCGCTCATTTATACATGGATTAACATGGATTATCCATGGATTAACTCGAACTTTTGTTATCTCAAGCTGTAGTTTATTAAACTAAAAGCAGAAAAAAAAATTTATTTTGCATAAAAGGAACATTTGTTTAGTTGAACAGGTTTCCTTGGTCCCTTGGAGGTTTAAACTTTCATGATTTAATTGAATTTTTAAGTAAAGTTCACGGGTGTTACACAGCTGATATATACTGATATACCCACTAAAATACCCAAATTTTTATATAACAAATGCTCCATCGATGATACTGTTTATGATGTATTTTTTTATCTATAAATTAATTTGTCAGTTTATTTTTGACATTTGTTTAAATAAGTATTTGTCAGTTTAATTTTGTCTATATAATTATATGTTTATTTTATTATATATATATATATATATATATATATATATATATATATATATATATATATATATATATATATATATATATATATATATATATATATATATATATATATATATATATATATATATGTATATATATATATATATATATATATATATATATATATATATATATATATATATATATATATATATATATATATATATATATATATATATATATACACACACATACAGAGAGTGGGAGAGATTTTTCCTGCTATTATTATTAAAACCTAAATTCATTTTTGGATAAACTTTTAGATCTCGATTTCCATATTTTAAAACTGCACCCGACGGATGGAAGGTTAACTTTTTTTAATTTTACTTTGATTTTGTCGTTCATTATTACTTTATTGATATACCTAAATATTTATAAATATAATTTAAAATATATACTTTTTAATTTATATAATCTGTGTCTGACTTACACAAGTTCTAAAAATTGAGTTTATTTAAATAAAAATATCTAAACTTGCTCAAACTTTAAACTAACTTCTGAACTCATAAATTAATAAAAAAAGCAGTTTAAAAATCTAATATAAAAAGCAACGCGATGTTGAAAGTTCGTGTTTTTTTGTTTGTTTGTTGTTGTTTTTTTTTCCAAATTTTGCCGACTGCTTTGAAATTTTTTTTTTTTTTTTTCTATCATGCTGCTGTTTTGAATATTTTTCTTTTTTTAAATTAACTTTTAAAAAAGAATTTTAGTTTATACTTATAAAATTAGACATCTTTATTTAGAACTCGGTTCGTCACAATCTATCGTTAAATAAGGCATTTTGTAAACTGGAAAGACCTGATGGCACATCACAAAGAAAAGGTTGCTTGTGGTCGCTTAAACCAGAAAAAAAAGACCAACTTAGAAGAGAGATTCGAAAATGGAAGAAAAAGCACCCCGAAGCTATTAAAGCCAGCATGGCTAATCCAGGTTAGTATAGAATAAAAAAAAAAAATTTCAAAACTAAAAAGTTATAGTATTCAAAATTAATTTTTTAAACACTTTCTAAGCACTTGATTTATTTCATTAAATCAGCATTATTATATACTGTTGATTTAATGAAATCTTTAAACTATAAAATAATGTAGACTAATACTTATTGTTTGGAATAAACAGGTTTAAAAAGATAATCTATGAATCTTTTTATTTTATTTATAATATCACTTTAAAGCATCCTAATCAGTATTATCCGCCATTGCCGTTCTGACCATAAAAACAGCATAAAAGCTATTGTTGAGAAACCGACAAAAAACGTCGAGATTAAAATGTAATTTTGCAATGATTGACGCAAAGACAAAAGTTTTAAATTTTTTTATAATAGACTTCAAAATTTTTTCGTAATACTTTTTATAAACTTTTTGCACTTTTTTGCTTTTTTTTTAATAAACTTTTTGCAAAAAAAAATTATTTTGATTTTTAATTTATTTAAAAACCATGAAAATGTAGTATATAAAGTCTTAAATGTAAAATATAAATTTCAAAACCATCAATGTAGTATAAAAAATTTAAATTATAGATTTCAAAAAAATGATAATATAAAAAAGAGTAAAATATAGACTTGAAAACTTTATAAGATTCAAAAAAAAATTTAATAATTTTGAAAAATAAGTCAACTTGGGTCTTTCTCTTAAAAAATCATCTCAACTTGCATTACTGGTTTTTAATGTCACTTGCATTACTGGTATTGCTTTTCTGAAATACATAATTTAAATAAACTATTGCGTCACTTAAATATTTAGCGTGGTTAAAATAAAAACTAAGTTTATTAAAATAACAATATTTTATTTGCTTTTAAAACTTTTTAGATGACTTGAGTATTTCTAGTGATTCATGTGATGACGATTCTATGGAAGATTCCAAAATTCAGTCTCCTGAACATACCGTACCTGAAAGTGCATTAGACATGCCACCATCAACACCCCTACTGGACGACACAGTTAAGGATGAACCGGTAGACGAAGTAGCAGTAGAAGATGTCGCAAAAGAACTTTTTGGTAGTGATCTATTATTTAATCATGACGATCTCCAGGCTGATGAATTCTGGAATGAACTTATGGATACTAATATGCTCAGTTCACACGATCGAAAATACTTGAGCGAAGACATTGTTGAACTTGAAAGTTCAGTAAAGATTGAACCTTTGTCACCTTCCACAAATTTTTTTAGTTCAGCAATACATCAGCCAACGTTAGCAAGTTTTTAAAAAAAAACAAAGTTATCGTTTTGAGGCGTTAGTACGTTATAATGGTTTTTTAATTTGTTTTTCTTTTGTGATTTTGCAAAAAATTTGTTCAACTTTCCGTTTGTTTCTGCTGTTGTGCTGCGTCTAACCCGCATGTTTGCACAAACTATATACCATGCGTTATTATAAATACATACGCAAATATCATGCTTATTTTTTTCTGTCGTTATGTATACGTGTTACATGCTTTTGTGTTACCATTTTTTATGTTTTCAATTGTCTTTTCTACACTAAAATATTCATTATAAATAGTCAGGAACATCATGTTACTATGGCAATTGTTCTTTTTCAAGTTTTTAGTTTTTTTACTAATCCAAGAAGCATTTTTTAGATCTTATTAAGTTTTTTATCTCCTGATTTTTTTAAAATTAGACTTGTATTTTTTAAATTTGTATTTAATTTTGCGATAACTATGCGATAATTTGTACTAAGATGTTTGCCAATTTTTTTACAGTCTTTCTTGTTCAAAAAGTAAATTTTTCACAAGTAGTCTATAAAAAAAAAGCATTTTTAAATTGCTTCGAGTTTTCGATGTTGTTAAATATATTTTGTACATATATAAATAGCTTTATACTAAAATTTTTAGATCAAAACATACATTCTAAATTACTTTTGTGTTCTAAATTTGTCTTCATTAAAATCAAGTTTTTTTAGTAAGAACAATAGAGGATTGTGCATATTAAAATTGTTCAAATTTTTTTCGGTTTTTAAGTTTCAAATCTAAATCTTTCCTTCATTATTTTTAAATTGATTTTCAGCTGTTGTTGTTTTTTTTAATTAAATAAACTTTGTAAATGAAAACTTAATCTAATCTATTAATTTCTTATCTAGCATTTTCACTTTTCTTTTGGTGTACGACGTCTAATTGTTGCAGCTCAATAAATTTCTTGTTTGCCTCGCTTATTTTATTATTACGATTATGATTATTTTGTTATTATTATCAGATTATTCTTATGAGATTCTTATTATGAGATTATTCTTATGAGATTATTATTATGAGATTACTATTATCAGATTATAAATTTTTTTTTATAACAATATTTGTAAATATTAAAATTTAAGAGAATTTTTTGAAGAATGAAACTGTTTTGATTATTTTTTAGCTGCCCGTGTGCAATTTTTAACAAGTGCAGTATATCACGTATCTTTCTATAAACAAAACCCAAAGATTGTTGATTAAAATTTTTTGCCGCAGTTACTCATTAAAACATAACAAACCAAATAAAGGTTACAAGAGGCCTCAATATTGAGAAAGTTATGTAACTATTTGCTAATAATCAAGCTAAAAAGTAAATACTTAATAATTCTAGCTGCCCAAAAATATTTCTAAATAATAACAAAAAAAATTGAAAACAACAAATACTCCACTTTACAGCTTCAAGTTTACTATTCATAGCAATAACTAATGTTGCTAGGTAGAACATTATTACAGTGCAGAAACCCAAGAAAATTACATTTAAACAACCTAATCTGGATTGCTTCTAGCAGACACAGACGTGCAAGATAATCATATGACGTCCTAAAAATGTCAATATTTTGCAAAAACATGAAGTAAGGGATCGTTACGCTTTAGGGAAGGGGGGAGGGGGAAGAGGTGAGTAATTTTGTGATGACTTATACGGAACTTGTTACTAAAGAGTTACGATGTTATGACGAGGTGGGGATGAGGTCAAAAAAGGTCAAAAATTGCATGATTTTATTTGTGGACAACTCCTGATAGTGGTTCAAATGAAATAGTTAAGAGTTTTAATTTTTTTTTTTTTTTAAGAGGAAAAAGTTTTGTTTTTTAATTTGTAGAGAATTTGGTGTAGGGGAAGGTTGCGTATGTTGAGCATGTTAAGAGTGTATTGTTTTTTTGCAGCCGAAATATTATAAAATTTAAATTCATTTTTGCAGATGATCATAACTTAATCTTTCCTCTTAAAGAATATAAATGAATAGTTAATTAAAAAAAACATTTATACCAAAAATTGCATTATTTTCAACACACCCAATCATCTCATCGTAGAAAACCAGTTTCCTAAGATGAGCTTTTTTTTAATGAAACTCAAAGAAACTCAAAATAACGAAAAAATAATCATAAATTAAATAAAATTGTATCTTCAAGGACTATACTTAAGTAAAAAGTAATTATCTAAATCATAAAAAAATAATAATAATAAATCTTTCCTATCTCTAAAAAAGTTAACGATATTATTTTTTGAAAAAACTTTTCTTCTTGAAAATTCAAAATTAAGCTACGCGGAGAATAATTGTAGAAAAACGTTTCTTAACGACAAAGCTGCATCTCATCTTGAGCGTCTAAAAACGTATCATCTTAAGCAATTTTACCAAGCACTCTCATTATTTTAATAGCATGACAACAGCTATTTAATCTCATATAACCAGTAAAATAAAGAGTAGATAAGCATAAAATATTAAGGATAAAGTAAATTTTTGATGATCTTGTTTCGTTCTGACGTAATTACAAAATATTGAATAATATAAAATTACAAACGGGGATGGTAAATTTTTTTAACAGTAAAACAATCGAACAATATTAACTATGCATCCAAGAAATTAAAAAAAAATAACACAGTCGAACTTGTATGATTATTCTTAACCAAAAAAGTTTGCGAAAAAATCATTAGTCTACCCGTAAAAGAGGTTATACCATCTTAGGAACCTGCTCATCTAACGCAATCTTCCCCTATTTAAATAAAATAATAATAATAACAACAACAATAATAATACTAATAATAAGGTGTATTTAAATCAAATAATTCCTTTTATAAAGTTTTTAAAAGAAACCTTATTTAATTGAAAAAAAAAACTAATTTCCCTCATATTTTGGAAGAATGAAGTAAGAAAATAAATGGCTAATTAAAAGAATACTTAACTACAAAATGCAATCAGTAATAACAATTAAAAAAACAACCAATATTAACAATTAAAAAAACAATTTTTTTTTTTTTAATTGTTCAAATTTTTTTTTGAGGCATATTTATTTCAGTTTAAACATAATTAATTAATAAAAGACCTATTGACCAAGCGAATAATTGGCGTATTTCATACAACACTTTATTTCACCATTTTCGTTTTTAACTCAACGTTTTACCGAAATAGCAAATTTAATTTTGAAATTAGATTCTTGACGCTAGTCAAGAATCTAATTTCAAAATTAAATTTGCTATTTCGGTAAAAAGGCTAATTTCAAAATTAAATTTGCTATTTCGGTACAAGGATGCGTTTTAAGTTCAATGCCAGCAAGTTTCTCTTCCGAAAATTTTATGCCCGTTTTTCAAAAAAAAAAAAAATGTTACGCGACCAAAAATTTGACCATTCACAGAAAAAGATTATTTGAATTAAAATTTTATATTATCTAATTCAGAAAAAGATTCTTAAGAAAAATAGTTGCAAAATGTTTATTCAACAAGCAGTAGCAATAAAAATAACAAGGAAAAATAAACAATTTCATAACAATTTCACTTAATCCTCTATTCATTCTTCTCTATTTTTTATTATTTAAAAAAGCACGATGTGCCATAACATACTTAAATTACTTTTATTTGATATATGATACTAATATATTATAAATTCTTTATGTTTTTTTTACAACGCATTATATTTTTAGTTAATGTTTAGTCTATCTTAATAGTTTAACAACCTTGGAAAACAATTGTCAGATTTCTTCACGCACACCTCAATCGATGGTTCCATTAACAAGAGTTGAAGCAAAACTAGTCACCTTATTGTTTATTGCATTAGCCTGACAAATCTGACTGAAGAGATCCTCTTTCAACGAAAAGTGTTTCCTAATCATTTGGTCAAACTTGGTTTGCAGAATTGATTCAAAAAATCTCGAAAACAGTGGATTACCTTGTACAGTGGTCTTCCCTTTTAAATCTTTTGAAGTTTTCAAAGCTACTTGAAGCAATGTTAAACATGCTAAAAACTTTGGAAATGCGGTTGATGAGCCTATTCTTTCTGGACCACAATGCATTGATTTGCAACTCATCCTACTAATATAATGAGATATTAACGTTGTTAATTGTTTGTTCAGAGAAATAAATGATGTCTGGTGACATCAAAAGCATAAAAATGTCCAGCAGCACTTAACATTTAGGTAAAAACATATCACGAAGGTCAATTATAAGACAATCAATGTCACAGATTGTTAAACATTTTGAATCTTCTTTAGCGAATTACATATTAAGATTTAGCCTTCTAAGTTTTTGGTTTTATTGACACATTTTGAAATTTTTGTGTTGTTGTTACCTCCTAATTTGACATGATACTGGTGGAAGATTCTGCAGAAACAATTTTGAAATTTAAGAACTCCTACTGGCGATTGCCGAACTGCTGCATTACCCTTACTGTCAATGCAGTTTTTCATTCATATTAAATATATTTAAAAAAACAAAAAGATGACACCTCTCCTATTTAATACTCTTTTTAACCATTTAAATCGTGTTTATTCTACCAGGTTTTCAAATCAGAAATTCAAAAACATATTAAAGCAGTTAATGTATTAAACGTATTAAACGCAGTAAAGAATTCGGTGTCCGTGAAGTGAAGAATTTGGTGTTCGTGAAGTAAAGAATTTGATGTCCGTGAAGTAAAGAATTTGGTGTCCGTAAACAGTCACCAAGTTCTTTACTTCAGAAAAAAAAAGGACCCAAATTATGGAATACTAAACTTATTAACGACATTAATTTTTCTTAATAAACTCAAAGAAAAACTAAAACAAAAACTTCTACCGTTTGACAATTAATTAACTTATATTAAAATATCATAAATAATCTTATTCCTCTCTCTTTTTTTTTTTTTTTTTCTTTTCTACTTATTAATCCTATTAATACTTATTGATTAGTAAATTTTACAAAAAAAAAAAAATAATAATAATTTTTTGTTTTTAAGTATATATTCTTTTATTTAGTTTTGTAATCCAAACTTTTTCTTTAAGCCATAATTCTTTGCCATTGACATATTTTTTTTTTTGTTTATTAAAAATATGTAAATTTTAACGGTATCAAAAAGAAATGAAATAACTGTTAGTAATATAAAAATACGGTTTAAAGTACGCGGCTTAGTGATTAGACTACTATTTTCTTATTTTTGTCCCAGACATGTAAATATTTAATTATACATTTTGCGTACGTAGCAATCTTTAAATGGCAAAATATATAAATAGGGGAAGAAAAAAAAAAAGTTTTTTCACAGAAAATTTAAAGGCCATACTGCTTACAAGTTTTCTGTGAAATGTGTATGAAAAATGAAGTATTGTATATGTTTTCATTTTTTCGCTAAGAATTTTAAATTGCTGTTAATAATATTTTTATTTTAAAAGTTCATTAATAATAATTTCAGATAATAATAAAATTTGTATTTATTTAAACTTTTTATTATGTAAATTTCATTCATGAAATAATTACACATAATAAAAGTATTTTATTAAACCAATTATATGCTAGTTAACAAACTTTTCAATATTCTAATCAATAGTAAACTATCATTTGTTATTGATTATTAAATACAAAGTCTAATTTTGACTTTTGATATTATACATAACCGCGATGAGCACATCGTTGAAAAACATTTCGCATTCTACATTAACAGCACGTCAACTTGCTGCACAAGCAGGTGATAGCAGGTGCGACTGATAGCTTATGTACAATTCACCAAGTTATTCATGATGCCATTCACGTTTGATGCAAAATTTAACAAAAACCACCATTAATTAAATAACAGCTGCATGATTGATTATATTTACCAAAGGACCACGTAACAAAAATTTAAGAAATAAAAGTTAAAAAATATTTTTATGACATGAACCATTTGCCATTGGTTATAAAAATTATGTTTGTCAACAAGAAAAAGCTAGCATTTGTACAGCTAGCAAAGTTAAGATAGTAAAGATTTATTTCAACGCCCATGAAAATAAACATTTTTACATTTAAACATTATTCAACGCCCATGAGATTAAAAATTATAATATTGCCAACTAAACCTAAGACCTAAATATTAATGAATGACAGTTATCATTTTTTGTTAGGCTGACATTTTTTGTTAGGATGCCCCGATTTTCCAGTATGGTCCCAATT